TTGATTGTTTTGACACTTTTTCACCTGTTGCCAAAATCACAACTGTGAGATTTCTTGTTGCATTAGCATCTCTTAAAAACTGGCACATTCACTAACTAGATGTCAATAATGCATTTTTGCATGAAGACTTAATGAAGAGGTTTATATGTCTTTATCCCCTGGCTACTGTTCTGATTCTGAAACCAGAGTTTGTAAACTAACCAAAAGCCTCTATGGCTTAAAGCAAGCCTCAAGGCAATGGTTCCAAAAATTGACATCTTGTTTGCTTACATATGGTTTTAGCCAGTCTATTGCTGATTGTTCATTGTTCTTCATGACTGATTCTGACTCCATAACTATCCTACTTGTATATGTTGATGATATTATACTAGCTGGGAATAATATGTACAAAATCAATGCTATCAAATCTCATTTGGATCACTGTTTCACTATAAAGGATTTGGGAAAACTTAAATACATTCTTGGACTTGAGTTTGCACATTCTGAAAAAGGCATCCACATGTGTCAAAGAAAATATGCCTTAGACATATTAAATGACACTGGTTTATTAGCTTGTAAACCTTCTGCAACTCCCATGGATGCATATTTAAAACTCAGTAAGAATGACAATACACCTGCTCTTTAAACTCTTTCTGAATACAAAAGACTTGTGGGTAAACTTTTATATTCGACCATCAGTAGGCCTGATATTTCTTATCCTGTTCAATCTTTAAGCTAATTTCTGTCTAACCCTACTCAGCAGCATTTTCAATCAGCTCAAGCGATACTCAGGTATGTAAAGGGTACAATTGGTCAAGGTATACTCTTTCCAGATCTTCTAAGTTACATATTTCAACATATTCAGACAGTGACTGGGCCTCTTGCATTGATACTAGAAAAAGTGTAACTGGTTACTTGATTTTTCTTGGTGATTCCCTTATTTCTTGGAAATCAAAGAAACAACCTACTATTAGTAGGTCTTCTGCAGAAGCAGAGTATAGAGCCCTTGCCTCTACTGCATGTGAAATCGAATGGCTCTTATCTCTGTGTACAGAATTACATATTCCACTTACTACACATGTCTCTCTGTTTACAAATAGCAAGTCAGCCTTAGCCATTGCCTCAAACCCAGTTTTCCATGAAAGAACAAAGCACATCGAGCTGGACTGTCACTTGATTAGAGAAAAGATAGCTAAAGGATTGATTCAACTCCATCACATTCACACAAATGAACAGTTAGCTGATTTCCTAACCAAACCACTACCAGGCCCATTGTTCAAGTCCATGATCTCCAAGTTGAGCATGCCAAATATACATGCTCCACTTGAAGGTACTTTTCAGATTCATTAGATAGGTTTATTTGTTATGAAAAAGTATTATTTCCCTTTAACACTTTTAGTTATTTTCCTTTTGTATAAATAGCTCATAGAAACCCTAAAGACACATTCATGCTCTCAATAATATTTTTGCGCAGTTTTCTTTCTCTCATGTTCATCTTCTATCTCTCTCTCTCTCTCTCTCTCTCTATCTTCGATCCAAATCTTCAGTCTAATACCTACAACTACAACCGATTAATAAATTTTGATAAACAAACATTCAACAATAAATAAATTTTGTCAACACATGTCAATGGAAACCTAAAAGCCCCTCTCATAAAAAGCCCTTTTTATCCCAAATCCCAAGCCGCAATAGGATCTTTCCTTCGTCCACGACACCTCCTCTCCACAGGGCTCTCCGTGCGGTCTGGTTTCGTCCGCTGCTGGTCGTATAACTCGCCTCTCTTGGAGCCAAAAATCCCCTGTTTAGTAAAATTTTGGTGTGGGTAAAGGATAACCGAGTTACCCAACTCGGGTCGATCTCGGGAAAAGGCTATTCGGAGCTTCACTTACTAGTTGATTGTCCAAATCACAAAAGATCAAATAAAGTCATAAACATTTTAAGCAATTGGATTGGAGGATGATTATCACTAAACGAGCACTTGAAAACGAGCAATTAACTAAGGGCAATATCAAATCACGAGCAAGTAGCAAACTAGATCATAGGAGTCTCATGCCATAACCATAACGAGATGATAATCAATCGATATAAGGAATAAACGAGCTATGAGAATTAGATTGCTAACCCTAATCATCTAAACCTAAGTGATTAAGCCCTAATCGGGTCTTAATCCTTAAACGAGATCAACAAGCAATTAACTCCTCTATCTACTCAAGCAAGCAATCAAGTCTCGACTTTTCCACCATCATCAATCAAATCTAAATTTACCTTAATAAACATTATAATTAAAAATGGAGCAAAAACCGAAGTAAAGAGCTTTAAAACTAAATACTCATACTTCCATTGCGCAGACGATGAAAAACGGAGTCAAAAGCTCGAAACTCGAAAGAAACCAAAGTAGCCGGAAAATCTCCCGGAAATTAGCATAAGCTCCTAATCTAGAGAGAAAAACATAAACATAAGCTAGTTCCCAAAAGGGAAAAATGAAATAATGAAAGATGGACTCTACAAAATGCAAAGGAACAAAACTATATTTAGTATAGCCAAAACACACACTAGAAAAATGCACAATGAAAAAGACACTCCCGAGCTCTCCACCAAATTCGCGAGCTCGCAGCAAGGGTCGGTACGGGCACACGCGGGAATCAGCACTCTCGAGGTCGCCATGAGTGTCGCGAGGTTGCGAGTGTGTGTTGGCGTGAAGAGTCGCGGCACTCTCGAGCTCGCGGTGCACTCCGCGTGCACGCGACCGTGTGCTTGGCAGGTGTTGCGGCACTCTCGAGCTCGTCAGGAGATCCGCGAGCACGCGAGTGGAGCAGGCGGCACTCGCGAGGTCGCCGTGCTTTCCGCGAGGTCGAGAGTCTTGTTGGGCGTGCGGGTGGCGTGCGCGAGGTCGCGGGTACCAGCGCACGGTCGCGAGTAAGCTGCGGGGCTCATGCGTGCATAGCTAAAACTCGACATACTCAGGTAAGAAATAACTCGTACGAAATGGCTCGACTTGACTCGGAATTGACTTGGAATTCAGAACACGGCTCCACTCTCTCTCTCTCTCTATCCTCGGAATAAACCTGAAATTATACCAAAGGCACGTAAAAGTACGCCAAAATAAAAAATAAAAAGAAAAATGCAAAAACACACGGAAAACGATAAAATGGACCGGTTGACACTAAAACAAACCTAAAACCAACTCGATAACGCACATAAACACATAAAAATAAGCACAAAACATAACAAACATCCTCTCGACGTAGGTCTCGTCAATTCTGCCAAGGCGCCTACGTC